CTTTAGACGTTGGTATATAAAAAGAATTGTTTATAGTTTGAGATGAAATAGTTCTAATCAATTGCCAGTAAAAAAAAAAAACTCCTAACATATGTGCATAAAGAATATTAATTTCTGATGCTAATTATTTACTTTTGATCTTCTCCTGTTACTTATAAGTAGTGTCTGTTGGGTTCAAAAGTTTTTAATCTGGTTAATAAAATCTTCTAACTTTAACACAAGTTTTTTATCTGACTCGGACAATCGCTCCAAAAATGTGAAATACTTTTTATTAAAATTGGCCATTAATTTTAGAGTAGAATCCATTTGGTGAATTCCCAACAAACATATTGTACAAACACCATTGACATATACATAAAATTGATATTTTTTAATCATCTTTCATAGTTTATTATATTAATTAAATGAAAAAAAATATGTAAGAAAGAAGGATAAAATACAATACAGTCCGCAAACCTCAAAACGTATTTATTAGTATTATATATTTAATTAAAAGAATGAATGTCAATTCGTTTTTTTGTTCGTAGAATTAAATTGTTTTCTTTAAATTGTATAATTCTATATACTGGAACTGTATACCTTAAAGGTATTATATTCCATTGAAAATCAATAGCTATAACTTTGTTAGTAGCAGGCGAATGTATTAACCATTTAATATCTAATGTAACATTATTCATAGCAATAATTCTATAATCATGTATATAATCGGAGCCCGGAAGTAAAATTTTTTTAAAACATATTAGTGTTTCTAATTGTCGTAATTCCATACGCCATTCTTGTGTTAAGCTATTATAAATTGTAATAGCAAGATTGAAACAATCATCTTGATTGATTCCTAAAATTATACCAATGAATTCATTTGAAGTTAAATTCAATGAATGTCTTCTGTTCAATGTCCAGCGATTATTTTCATTAGTTTTTTGCCATCTATCAATAAATTTTGGTCCCCATTCATCATAAGCAATTAATAATGACGATTGATTATTGAATACCGTAAAACATTTGAAAGGTTTTCTATCGTTTGATCTTATGTCAGATATTGGTTCGATATCCTTTGTATTAGGATCAAACGTAAAAATTTTTCTTTCCGTAAGTAAAAAGAACTTTTGTTCAGCATCATACCATAGAGCATCTATGATATCTTGTGTTATTGGACAATTCATGGGATATCTTTGGAAATGTTGATCAATAAGAATTAATCGTTTTCTTTTATTTGTAGATTCATTTGCTAAAATATAATTTGATGAGATGGCTAAAATTGGTTGAGATGATGCAAGTGGAATCTTGATCGCAGAGATTGAATGATGCTTGTTATCAATCATTTGTTCAGATGATTTTAAATTCGTAGATTCATCATCGTCAATTATTTCTGCCATTGACTGAATCACATGTGTTTTTGGAAGACATTCGACAGCTAACATAACTGCTATTGAAAGCAGAAGAAGAAGAAAAAGAAACAATATACTTTCAAAAAAACAATGAAGAAATATTTTACTTTTTACTTACTGCAAGTCGCTATTTCAATTTATGAAAAATGTATTCAACAGAGATGTATATATAAATGAAAAAATACCCACAATGCAAATTATTTTAGAAGAAGAACAAAAAAAAAAACTTACATAATTCGAAGATATGCACTTGCTATACAAAAAAAAAAAAAGAAGGAACACTATTTACTTTCTACAACGCATTTCTCATTTATGTGAGTATAAGAAGAACAAGAAAAAATGCTGTTTTTTTTTGTGTATGTTTATCAGTTTTCTTTTTCGATGTCACATGATGAGTACCTTTCACTGCATTTGCACTTGAGTATATTCAAAGGTTTTTTATGAGTATTGTGAATCATTGCAATGACGTAAGTGCAAAAAAACAAAATATATCGTTACCATGATCTCTACCGAGATGAAATATAAAAATCTTTCGACTGTTGTAGCTTTTTTTGTGTACTCAAAAAGTGAGTACACTATAGAATCGGTCAGTATGCCCGTCCGGCCGTTTATACGATAACTTTTGAAAAGAGAGTCCAATCGCAATGAAATTTTCCACACAGTTCAGTCTTAACAATGTCTCGGTCAAGTTCGAAGATGAGCAGGATCCGTCAAGAAATGGCTGAGTTATCGAAAAAATTGTCATTATTGAGAAGACCATCCCTGAGGGGGGGTACAGGGATTTTTTCAAAAAAAACATTTTTTTTTTCTCCGAATTATTTACAACATATATAAATCGACTCAGTTTTTAACGCTGATTCCGAATCTGATATTAGTTTTGAACCAAATCGTAGCTTTCTAACAAAACATCCTCTGAAAAAGGTCTCAAAATGCAGAAAAACTGCTTGAAGAAAACAAATTGACTAGATATGTCTCAGATGATAAAAAAATAAAGTGAATATACCTGTTCACTTTTTGAAGTACACATAACACTCGGATTTAAATCCGATGTTTTCGC